GCCATTTGGCCATTCGGCAAATCACACCAAGAAGAGCAATCCAAAGCAAAGTGAGCTCTAGAAAATACAAGAGTTTTGTGAGTGCTTTGGGTGAGGGTGAGCAAGAGCAGAGTGGTTAAAATTACTTTGCTGAGTGTTTTTTGAGTGTGTCTCGCATTCAAAAATACTGTGAGTAAGATTTGGGTGTAATTGGGGATTGGGTATTTTTCTGAGAGTACCACAAATTGTATCTCCCTATTTTAATAGTGAATTTTTCCTTATGAGTGCCCGTGGACGTAGGCTCAATTAAATTAGAGTTGAACCACGTAAATTCTGTCTTTTTTGTGGTGGTGCATTTTTTTATTCAATTAATTTCTTAATCTTGTAGTAGGTTAACCAAAATCTCAAGCTATTTGTTCCAACAAGAATCAAATCAATGGCTCCATCCCTTCGGAGCTGACAAACCTTAAGAACTTAACTGATTTCGATCTTGGGCAAAACAGTTTAAAGGGCACAATCCCATCATCTTTGAGTCTCTTGTCCAGTTTGTGGATCCTGTACCTTGGAACAAATTCTTTTGAGGGCTCCATCCCACCAAACATAGGAAATCTAAGTAATTTCGAAGTTCTGAATCTTGGTGGTAATAAATTAACAGGTCAAATACCTCCATCTCTGGGTCTCTTGTCTAATTTGTCAATTTTGTGTCTTTTTTCAAATAATTTGAATGGTTCTATCCCTCAAAATTTAGGATGTCTATATCATTTGTGGAGATTAGATCTTAGTAATAACAAAATAACTGGTCATATCCCTTCATCTCTGTCTCGTTTGTCCAATCTGTTAAATTTGATTCTTTATTCAAATAACTTGAATGGTTCTATCCCTCAAAATTTAAGATATCTATATAATTTGTGGAGATTGAATCTCAGTAATAACAAAATAACTGGTCATATTCCTTCATCTCTGTCTTGGTTGTCTAATTTGTGGGAATTTGATCTTAGTAATAACAAAATAACTGGTCATATCCCTTCATCTCTGTCTCATTTGTCCAATTTGTAGAGTTTGTATCTTTATGAAAATAGTTTAACAGGTCAAATCCCTCCATCTTTGGGTCTCTTGTCCAATTTGTCAATTTTGAATCTTCATTCAAATAACTTAGATGGTTTTGTCCCTCAAAATTTAGGAAGTCTATATAATTTGTGGGGCTTGAATCTTAGTAAAAATAAAATAACTGGTCGTATCCCTTCATCTCTATCTCATTTGTCTCATTTGCAGTATTTGAATCTTGATACTAACAATTTCACTGGTTCAATTCCTTTTGCCATACTTCATTTACCCAATCTGCAAACATTGTCTCTTAATTCAAATCTTTTAAAAGGTTCAATACCCAAAGAGATTGGGCATTTGAAATCTTTGCAATATTTAGACCTTTCCCGAAACAAATTGTGTGGAGACCTCCCATATGAAATAGGACATATGAAGAATCTATATATTTTAGATCTTAGTGCTAACAATTTCACTGGTCCTATTCCTTCCACTCTAGTTCATTTAACCAAGTTGACCATCTTGTATCTTGATTCAAATCATTTGAAAGGGTCAATACCTTCACAACTTGGGTATTTATGAAATTGGAATCTGTATAGCTTGAATCTTAGTTGCAATAATCTCACAGGCCCAATCCCACCAAATTTGGCTGGTTTTCCATACAACTCTTTTATAGGCAACCCAGGTTTATACGGTTATCCTCTTAGCAGCCCCACTACTTCGCCTTCTCCTTTCACTCAACATAGAAAAAATTCCAACAAAGTGATGAAACATATTAAAATTATTCTTCTTAGCACCATTTCTCTTGCGTTGGTATCTCTGGCATTGTTGTTACTTTCTCGAAGAATAAATGGAGCTAAAAGTAAGGACGCAATTCTAACTCCAACGAAAAATGGGGATATGTTCTCAATATGGAACTTTGATGGGAGGGTTGCATTTGAAGACATTATTGCAGCAACTGAAGACTTCGACATTCGATATTGCATTGGTACTGGTGGCTATGGTAGTGTTTACAAGGCACAATTGCCAAATGGCAAAGTAGTTGCCTTAAAGAAACTTCACCGAAGGGAATCAGAGGTACCCACTTTTGACAGGAGCTTTAGGAATGAAGCTAAGATGTTGACAGAAATACAACATAAGAATATTGTCAAGCTTCATGGGTTCTGTCTGCATAGACAGTGCATGTTTTTGATCTATGAATACATGGAAAGAGGAAGCTTGTTTTGCGTTCATAGAGATGAAGCTAAAGCTGTGGAATTGGATTGGATGAAAAGAGTGAATGTCATAAAAAGTACAGCACATGCTTTGTGCTACCTTCACCATGACTGTATCCCATCCATCCTTCATCGGGACATATCAAGCAACAACATTCTATTAAACTTGGAGTTAGAGGCTTTTGTTTCTGACTTTGGAAATGCTAGACTTTTGGATCCTGATTCATCTAATCATACCACACTTGCTGGCACCTATGGTTATATTGCCCCGGGTTTTCTCTATCAACATAACAACATTCTTCTTTTGTTGTCTTATTTCACTATCTACTATTAAATTGACATGTGAAATGTGTTATTTACCTATGCAGAGCTTGCCTATACAATTGTTGTGACTAAGAAATGTGATGTTTATAGCTTTGGGGTTGTAGCATTGGAAGTACTAATGGGAAGGCATCCTAGAGAATTGTTGACATTGTTATCAAAACCATATTCTTTGCAAAATGTGATGCTAAGTGATGTATTGGACACACGTCTATCGCCTCCAAGAAGCAGAAATGTTATCCAAAGTACTGTTGTTGCTGCCATGCTTGCATTGGCTTGCTTGCGTGCAAAACCCAAGTCCAGACCAACAATGAAATATGTGTCTCAACAATTTGTTGCTTGCCAAAAACAGCGTTTGAAGCCTATTTCAACTATTTCTTTGTTGGAACTTGTAAGTTCTGATTTGGGGATGGAAAATGGAAGAGAACCTCAACCAGAAGTTGTATTAGAACTTGCAAAACTAAATGCTGATTTGGGATGGAAAATGAGAGAGAACCTCATATACAAGTTTCATGTCATCTAGATGATGAGTTCCATGGTTCTTCCTCAAATTAGATTCAACCGAGTTTCCTTGTCCTTTGTTTTATTGAAAAAATAAATCTGTTTGTCTATTTCATGCTTTACTTTTCTGTATTAATATGTTGAAATTGAATACCACCTTGTTTTGTATATATTTCTCAACCAGGACTACAAATTTTTTGTACTGAAACACATGAATGCACCGACACAAAGTTCGGCACTCAGCAGAAGAAATTGGCTGTATTTTTTTTAAAAGAATCCAGACTGCATCATGCTGTACCATGGAAGCTATTGTCCCCAACCCAATTGCTTCAATCAACCTTGATAGCATAGAAGATGTTAGACAAGCAATAAAGAAAGGGCATCGACTTTTTCAAATACATATATGTTACAAAAGAGCCTTTTCAATGTTTTATCTCCAGTGCAGAGAGCCCATTAACACACTTCTGCTTAAAAAGGAAAATATCTAGGCTTACCAGCATAATTATTAGATGGACCAGGGAAAGAATGTAAAATAAAATTGCATGCAACGTATAGTGTAGATTTTTTTGAAGTGAATAAAAGCTGAACACCGTGGATCTGTTGCCACAACATTGCAGCACCATACATTCTGTCTTGCAGAGAATAATTATGCAAAATAGAATAGAACTCTTGTTGACATGTTGTTGTGTTATAACAAATAATGTAATTTGCATATCCTATCACCACGACTGAGTAAAAGAAACTGAAAGTACAGTTAAAGAATCAAAAGGATTTTGACTTAAATCCAACTGTCCAAGCAATCGGGGATGGGGTTGGGAATGGGAATGGTTATCCCTGCCATTAAATCAAATATGTTACGGCAACTAATATTTTAGTTTTTATTTTTAAATAATATTTAAAAATATTAATTTATTAGTTAATAAAAATTAATTTTTAATAATTAATAATTATTTATTAATTATTTTTATTAATTAAATAAATAAATTATTATTTTTAATAATAAAAATTAATTTTTAATAATTAATAATTATTTATTAATTATTTTTATTAATTAAATAAATAAATTATTATTTTTAA